AAATGGGAGAGATACTCAGAATACAAATATCTGATACTGCTACACTAAGGAATGATAAATGATTCTTCTGCTGGGTGGCAAGTTACCTATTATATAGATAACATGATCAGGCAATTGGAACAATAGCCAGCAGACTTAATTGACTCATGGGGACTGTGAGATAAAATCTCTCTTCTGTACCCTTCCAATTGTCTGGCCACAGTATTACTTTGCATGTTAAAAATGATAGTTTACATTACAGAGCAGGTTCATTTTGCTTATCAGAGAAGGTATTTTAGCTTTAAATGTTCATTGCTTTTAGCATTTAATCCACATTCCTCTTGCAACTGCTACAATAGCAAGACAGTCTTCAAAAGAATTTATGTTTAGCACCATTCTTGTTGGAACATGCCCTTTTACTGCCAATTTACATAGGAACACCCTCAGGAATTGGGCTTAGCTTTGTAAATCTGTCATTTCTTTCCTCAGAGGACTCATTGAAAGAATTTTATGGGTGGTCCAAATGCTGCCCATTTCAAATTGTAGTCCGTCTAGATTTCCTATCTCTCTCTCTCTCTCATATATATATATATATATGTTGTTCATTCGTTCAGTCGTCTCCGACTCTTCGTGACCTCATGGACCAGCCCACGCCAGAGCTCCCTGTCGGCCGTTACCACCCCCAGCTCCTTCAAGGTCAGTCCAGTCACTTCAAGGATGCCATCCATCCATCTTGCCCTTGGTCTGCCCCTCTTCCTTTTGCCTTCCACTTTCCCCAGCATAATTGTCTTCTCTAGGCTTTCTGTCTCCTCATGATGTGGCCAAAGTACTTCAACTTTGTCTCTAGTATCTTTCCCTCCAGTGAGCAGTCGGGCTTTATTTCCTGGAGGATGGACTGGTTGGATCTTCTCGCAGTTCAAGGCACTCTCAGAACTTTCCTCCAACACCACAGCTCAAAAGCATCGATCTTCCTTCGCTCAGCCTTCCTAAGGTCCAGCTCTCACATCCGTAGGTTACTACAGGGAATACCATGGCTTTGACTAGGTGGATCTTTGTTGCCAGTCTGATGTCTCTACTCTTCACTATTTTATCGAGACTGGACATTGCTCTCCTCCCAAGAAGGAAGCGTCTTCTGATTTCCTGGCCACAGTCTGCATCTGCAGTAATCTTTGCCCCTAGAAATACAAAGTCTGTCACGGCCTCCACGGTTTCTCCCTCTATTTCCCAGTTGTCAATCATTCTTGTTGCCATAATCTTGGTTTTTTTTACGTTTAGCTGCAACCCGGCTTTTGCGCTTTCTTCTTTCACCTTGATTAGAAGGCTCCTCAGCTCCTCCTCGCTTTCGGCCATCAGAGTGGTGTCATCTGCATATCTGAGGTTGTTAATGTTTCTTCCAGCAATTTCACCCCAGCTTTGCATTCATCCAGCCCCGCACATCGCATGATGTGTTCTGCATACAAGTTAAAAAGGTTGGGTGAGAGGATGCAGCCTTGCCGTACGCCTTTCCCAATCTTGAACCAGTCTGTTGTTCCATGGTCAGTTCTTACTGTTGCTACTTGGTCCTTGTACAGATTCCTCAGGAGAGAGACAAGGTGGCTTGGATGCCCATCCCACTAAGAACTTGCCACCATTTATTATGATCCACACAGTCAAAGGCTTTAGAATAGTCAATGAACAGAAATAGATGTTTTTCTGAAACTCCCTGCCTTTCTCCATTATCCAGCGGATATTGGCAATCTGGTCTCTCGTTCCTCTGCCTTTTCTAAACCCAGCTTGACATCTGGCAACTCTCGCTCCATGTGTTGCTGGAGTCTTCCTTGCAGGATCTTGAGCATTACCTTACTGGCATGAGAAATAAGGGCCACTGTACGGAAGTTTGAGCAGTCTTTCGCATTTCCCTTTTTTGGTATGGGGATATAAGTTGATTTTTTCCAGTCTGATGGCCATTCTTGTGTTTTCCATATTTGTTGGCAAATGGCATGCATCACCTTGACAGCATCATCTTTTAAGATTTTAAACAGTTCAGCTGGGATCCCGTCATCTCCTGCTGCCTTGTTGTTAGCAATGCTTCTTAAGGCCCATTCAACCTCACTCCTCAGGATGTCTGGTTCTAATTCATTCACCACACCGTCAACTATCCTCAATATTATTATCCTTCCTATACAGATCTTCTGTATAGTCTCGCCACCTTCTCTTGATCTCTTCAGCTTCTGTTAGGTCCCTGCCATCTTTGTTTCTTATCATACCAATTTTTGCCTGAAATTTACCTCCCATGTTTCTAATTTTCTGGAAGAGGTCTCTTGTCCTTCCTATTCTGTTGTCTTCTTCAACTTCCATGCATTGCTTATTTAAATATATATATATATAAGGCCAAGGGGGAAAGGATGGAATACCTGAACAGTGCCTTTTGAGAGTTGGCACTAGGAGCTCTCCCTCTGGATATGTCACTGTCAATCATTTCAGCATTTGAAAATGAGTTTGAGTCCGAAGTTTAAATGAGCTATCCAAGTTGCTGAAACTGTTTAGGAAACAGGATCCAAAACTTCTGACAGATTTTTTTAAAGCCTGGGCTAAAAAACCAGATTGGATTCATCACTCCAAGGTCATAGAAGCCACTAGCCTCAACTGGTGTGCCTGCTCCCACAACTTGTGGCAGAACTGAGGACCAACGGGAGGAGGTTTCTTCAGTTCAGTTGTAAATGTGCAGGTTTATTATCCATAGGAGGAGCCCCTGATGGCCCAATGAGTTAAACCCCTGTGCCAGCTGAACAGTTCACCAAAAGGTCGGTGGTTCAAATCTGGGGAGCAGGGTGAGCTCCTGTCTGTCAGCTCCAGTTTCCCATGCGGGGACATGAGAGAAGCCTTCCACAGGATGGTAAAACATCTGGGCGCCCCCTGGGCAATGTCCTTGCAGACAGACAATTGTCGCAGTTTCTCAAGTCATTCCTGACACACACAAAAAAAGACCTTAATGCTGTAAGACTAAAACTTCCAACAGTCCTAAACAATATAGTTTAGGATCACCTTCAACACTATTAAAGGTGATGGGAGCTGCAATTTGACAGTCTGGATGGGCAACACTGTTTCACTCCTCCAGAATGGAGATCGGTTTCACTAGTGAATAAAAAAGGGAATGTGCCTCAGGCTTAACAGAAAAAAATAGGTTCTGAGGAGGCATTCAAAGAAAGGAACCAGCAGATGAAGTGGTGTGTGTGTGTGTGTGTGTGTGTTGGACTAGGACCCAGAGGCCAGGGTTTCAATTCCTACTCAGCCTTGGAAAACCTTGGGGTAGTCACATTCTTAGAGAAAGGCAAAGGCAAACCTGCCCTGAATAAATCTTTTGACAAGAGGGCCCTAGGGTGGGATAGTTATAAGTTGTAATCAATTGCAAAGAACATAAAAGCCACACACCATTTAAAATTGAGAAAATGTGCTTTCACAGAGATGTTCAGGGAGATGATTGCCAGAAAAAGAGGCAGAGAAAGGCAAAATGAAAAGTTATGTTGTCAAAGGCTTTCATGGCTGGAATCACTGGCTTGCTGTGAATTTTCTGGCCTGTATGGCCATGTTCCAGAAGCATTCTCTCCTGACGTTTTGCCCACATTTAGGGCAGGCATCCTCAGAGGTTGTGAGGTCTTTTTTTGGGGGGGGGGAGGAAAGTGAGGTTTATACATCTGTGGAAGGTCCAGGATGGGAGAAAGAACTCTTGTCTGCTTGAGGCAAGTGTGAATGTTGCAATTGGCCACCTTGATTAGCATTGAATTGCCTTGCATCTTCAAAGCCTCGCTGCTTCCTGACCGGGGGAATCCTTTGTTGGGAGGTGTTCGTTGGCCCTGATTCTTTCACATTCGCACTCCAACAGGCAAGAGTTCTTTTTATATCAAATATGGAAAAATATTATATTGTAAATTGATGTACTGTTTTGGAAGCTTCACGGGATACTAATTGAAATGCATTAGATAAGGGTTATTGTCATTACATGTAAAAACATTTCCCTGCATAAAACCTCTTTTATAATGACTGGTGCCCTAAACCATCTGACACCTTTTTGTTTTGTGAAGTTGAAACAATACTGTGAAGTTGAAACAATCAAGTGACTGGGTTGCTGTGAGTTTTCCGGGCTGAGTTTTCCATTTATATATATATATTTGTTTATTTAAAAACTCTAAAATTAGGACAGTAAGAGCAACACTCAAACAACAGGGTAATTCCAGACAAGAATCAATCAGGGCAAGCTAACACCTTCCAACAAAGGATTCTCCCATGCAGGAAGCAACCAGGCTTTGAAGCTGCAAGGCCATTAAAAGCTAATCAAGGTGGCCAATTGAAACATTCACAGTTGCCTCATGCAGACAAGAGTTCTTGGACATTCCACAGATATATAAACCTCATTTGTCTGGTTCTAACATACTTCAGAACCTCTGAGATGCCTGCCATAGATGTGGGCGAAATGTCAGGAAATAATGCATCTGGAATATGGCCATACAGCCTGGAAAACTCACAGCAACCCAGTGATTCCAGCCATGAAAGCCTTTGACAACACATTAAATCAAGTAACTACTATTCACCAATCTAGGAAGTGCCTTCAAGAATATTTTTTAGAGATAACATGATCCCATTTCATGGTGAGTTTTTTTCAAAAAAGAAAAAGAAAAAAAAGAAAAGCTTTAGAGGTGATAGGGAAATAAATTAGCTGTGATATCAATTGTTTATTTTTGTGAAAGGAAGAAAGAGGAACAAAACTAGTTGTAGCTAAAGTTCTATCAGTTTAATTATTTCCCAATATCTTGTCTCATTGTGGTCTCATCTCCTTGTGGTCTGAGTGGATTAATAAAGAAAAGACAGCTTGAGGAACTGGGAAGAAGATAGCATGAGAAACAATGACAAAAGATCCACTCTTTTTCATATGGGCGAGAGCCCAAAGGGGAGGGAGAAAACACGTGAAGGCTCATGTGAAAGGGGAACCCACTCTGGATAGCGTAACATAAAAGTTTCCTTTCAGGGAAATGTGCAGTCATATGACCTCTGTATTTGATCAGAGAAATAAGGAAGTGCAAGTGGTGTTGCAAGACTTTGGAGGACAGCAAACATTTTGAAGAATATCGGAGAGCCAGTTATAGAAGGCAGTGAAGAAAGATCCAGGGAAAAACAGAAAGGCATTGAGTGGCCAAAAAGGAAGCAGCTGAGAACGCAAGGAATCAGGGTCTACTTTGACCGGAAAAAGAAAGGATTCAGGGACAGGGACTGCATGGCCTCACCAGGTACCCAAGGGGAACGCAAACCCCTCTTAGCATCGGAGGAGGCCCTGGACAGGCCTGCCACATCCCCTTTCGAGGGCAGAAAGGCTGCCTGTGCAGCCGTGCTGGTGGTGGAGATTCTGGAGCGTGCAGCTTTCTTTGGCATTGTCTCGAACCTTGTCCTCTACCTCAACAGCAGCATCTTCAACTGGGGTGGTTCTCAAGCATCGCGAGCATCCCTCCTCTTCCTGGGTGCCTCTTACCTGCTTTCCCCCATTGGAGGGTGGCTTGCTGATGCTTACCTTGGCCGCTACTGGACCATCGCCTTGAGCTTCCTGCTTTACCTGTTAACCGCCTGCCTCCTGCCTGCTGTGGCCTCACAGGATGGACGACATTGGCTGTGTGGAGAGATGCCAGCCTACCCGGTGCAGCCCTCATGTCCAAAGGGGAGTAAAGATTGCATGGAGCACCTGCCAAGCCAGTACTGTGCCCCTGTCATGTACACGGGTCTCCTGCTTCTTGCCCTGGGCATCAGTTCAGTCAAAGCTAACCTCACACCATTTGGTGCAGATCAGGTAAGAGACTGTTGCATAGGGTAAAGGTAAAGGTTTTCCCCTGACATTAAGTCCAGTCGTGTCCGACTCTGGGGGTTGGTGCTCATCTCCATTTCTAAGCCGAAGAGCCAGCATTGTCATCTCCAAGGTCATGTGGCCATCATGACTGCATGGAGTGCTGTTACCTTCCTGCCAGAGTGGCACCTATTGGTCTACTCACATTTGCATGTTTTCAAATTGCTAGGTTCGAATCCGCTTCCCGGATTTGAACCTGAGACATTTCGGTCAGCAATTTCGGCAGCTCAGCAGTTTAACCCACTGCACCACCGATGGCTTTGATATATAAATTTGATATAATAAAACCTGATATATGGCAACATTTGAAGTAACTCTTTAACTTCACACATAAGTATTTTGTTTGTCTTTGGATGTTGCACTATGATTTCAATCATCTAGTTCTGTCTGAACCCAACAGTTTGGTTTTCTTAGTTGAGTGGATGGTGATGAACTGAATAGGCATTTGGTCGATTTTTTTTCTATATTTCTTGTTAATTTTATTATTTTGCTTTTTAATCATCTTTCAGTATGTCCTCACACTTTTGGTACTTTTGTATTAAATATAGAAATTTATTGTTTGTCTTCAAGTCATTTCTGACTTATGGTGACCCTAATGTGACCCATCACAGGTTTTTCTGGGGCTGAGAATGTGTGACTTGCCCAAGGTTCTAGCTGAGTGGAGATTTGAACCCTGGTCTCTGAAGTCCAACATTCAAACCACTATGCCACAGTAGGGGTTTTTTTTAATGAAATAATAAGTGTGCTATTGTGCACACCAAACCCAGAATGCTTTCTGAAGTTTGCACTAGATATCTGATAAGTCTTTGTATTATTCCTTCCAACATATGGCAAATTCTATAAAAAGAAAGTACAACATTACAAAAGGATCTGCAGGCTTGAGACTTCAAATTAAATACACAATTCTCCTTTTCCATTTCCAGTGTGTTTTTTTGAAACTTTATAGAAAAACATTTGTGCTGAAGCCTCAGAAAGTGAAGTATTCCTCAGAACCTTTGCTTGGAAACTCTTGTGATTTTAATGCAGATTATTTGTTTTATGTGGCTTTTTTTATTTCTGTTTGAACCTCTTAAAACTTGGAAGAGAGAAGATGGAAAGGGGTGTTTTTTTCAACAAACTCCTTAGAGAGAACAAAAAAAGTGCCATGCCTGTGGCAAAGAACAGAACAATGGCTTAGTTCATCCTCTCCGCACAAGAGAAGTTAACTGGCACTCTTGCATTGTAATATGGCATTCTCGGGGGCTTCCAGGTAATGCAATCAGCTTTTCTCATTCACAGGTCTTTATATCATCTTTGGCTCATATTGCTTCTGTGTTTTTTCACAGCTCCTTCCATCTTATTTTCTCACCACAGAGATCTGTTGAAGAAACAATGGTGTAACCACACAGTACTTTTTGACAAAAGGAACTATCTTCCCTTCTTACTCAGGGGTTTTTGGTTAATTCTTCATCTCTCTCTTAAGATTGTGTCTTTACTGCTACCTAGGCCATGTCTCCAATGGCTGGTAAATTCAGAATCAATCCTAAGCAGAAATACAACAGCGAAGCTGTACCGTTCCCATGATATCACCACCACAGCATTCCCATGGGAATCCCAGGTTCATGCATTTTTGCTGGACCTTTTCTGCCCTCACTTGTTTTTCCTGCTGTTGTGCACAAGCCAAGAAACTGTAAATACAATGCAGTGGACAACTGAATCCACTAACTATGTCAAGGAGTGCAGTTGGTCAGAAAAATAGGTCTGTCTTGGTGGCTCCCCACAGCAGTGCCTCCTTAGTGGCTGCTCATTCCATTTTCTCATTTGTGGGTGTGTGCTCCTTCCCATGATTATGCTGCTCATGGATTAATCTTGAGAATGAACCCACAAAATGTATTGCACATGGAAGACCTAAAAGTCAAAGAAGAACACAAGTTAAAAAAAGGGAAGTTCCTCTAACCCAGTGGTTCCCAACTTTTTTTTACCAGAGATCACTTGATCAGGGAACCACTCTCCAACATTAGTACCAAAAAGTGTTATGAATCAACTTTAGATTGGGTTTGGTTATTTGGGATGCCAATTCAGAAAATTGCATTGAATAGACCACATCAGCTCTAGTTTCTGCTACAGAAGATATGCCATCCAGTAGTTGCCATCTGCTCACCCACATAAAACCATATTTAATAATCTAGAGCTGTTGTGGTCTATCCAATGCAATTTTCTGAATCTGGACTCCAAATAACCCCAGGAACAGGCCTAAAAACAAAGACACCAAGAGCCTCCCGCTTCCAGGCACCACATGGAATGGCTCCACTCATAGAATCAAAGAGTTGGAAGAGACCTCATGGGCCATCTAGTCCACTCAGGGGGAGGGAGAAGGAGGAGAGGCAGCAGTCAGGAGGCTTGTTGTTGCGTTATTCGTAGGTAGTCAGCCTCTCCCCTCCCGACATCCCCTTTGCCTCTGCACTGTAAGAGGGTTTCATGAGACCAGTTGCTCTTGTTGCAACGGTGTAGTAACGGTGAGGCCACGGTTCATATTTTAGTTCTTGGGGTCCACGGGTGGTCCACAAACCACAGGTTGGGAACCACTGCTCTAACCTGAGGAATCCTTTCTTGGCCAAGTAGGGAATTACTTGAAAAAGTTATTTTTTAATTATAACTTCAAAATCTCCCAGCCATCTCCAGCACCCGCCATACTGACAGGGGATTCTGGATGCTGTAGTCCAACAAGTAACTCTTCCACACTGTGACCAAGAGACTATTTTTATATTGGCTAGCCATGCTATTGACTTGTTAATAAGAACATTTCCCAATGTGTAATATGCTTATTTTCATTGCAGGTGACAGACCGTGGCCGGGATGCTACACGCCGATTCTTCAACTGGTTCTACTGGAGCATTAACATTGGGGCTGTGATCTCACTGCTTGTAGTTGCTTTTATCCAGCAAAATGTAGACTTCCTTACTGGCTATGCCATTCCTGCTGTGTGTCTGGCCCTGGCTCTCTTGATTTTCCTCCTGGCTGCTCCTATCTTTGTCACCAAGCCTGCTGCTGGTAGCCAATTCTCCACCATGTTCCAGTTGGCCTTCCAGAAGAGCAGCTGTGGTAAAGCACTCCAGAAGATGGCTGCAAAAAACAGGTATGTATGCATTCTAGCTGTCTCAATTTGGCAGAGACAGTTCCGATTACTCCTGTGTTCTCCCACTTTTCCGGCTACTTTTTAAATGACCATGCATTTCTCTTCTCCTACGATTCTCGTCCTTTGGCTTCAATGTATTTCAGTTGTTGCAAATTGAGATTAAAGTGCAAAAGGATTTTGCAGTTGACACAGTTCAAGGTTTTAGAAGCAGTGTTGTATTTGTGGTCTCATAGCATGCCATGGTGCATGGTAGAAAATATATATAGGAGTGAAATGCACATTGATAGGCATTCATTTTTGGTTGTGTGTTCAATTGCATATTTGGTATCTCTGTTCAGTTCTGCCAGTGTTATTCTAACCCAGAGCTGCATCATATAATTCATATGTACCTTTGCATGTGGAGAAATTTGCTGTGCATTCCACCTGGGAACATGGCTGAAGGCATCTTTAAAAATGCAGCACATGTTTCTCACTAACTGAGTTTGGAGGAAGCTTATAAACCAATAGATCTTCTAGTCTTGTGTGGTCAGCAAGAGATCTTTACAGCAGAAGCTGTGGATTAAATCTGAGATCTTCTGCAGGAAAATCATATTTTCCACCTTCCAGTGGATCTCCCTTGTAACACAGGCCAGAGCAGAGCATCTAAGAGATACTTCTTTCTTCATCAGCTCCCAGCATCTACTATAACAAGCACAGATGCTATGCTGGCCATGTACTTCTGAAAACTATAATCCAAAAAAATAGAAGGAGCAGCTATCATTCCGTTAAAAAAAAAGGTTTTGGAGTTTTTGATTTAAAAGCACCTGTTGATGGACTCTTTAACAACCAGGAGTCTAAGTGGGAAATATATATAGGGTAATTTTTTTTTCTTCAGAATATTCCTTTGGAATCAGAAGCAAGTATGGTCAGGAGGTGATACTGCTGTTTGCGGATAGCGAAACCTAAGGCCCATCCGGACAGACCAAAATGTGGGACCTGTCTAGGTTTTTACTGGGGGCATCCAAATGATGCCCTAGGCAAAAAAGGAATTAATTTTGAATAACTTCAGTTATTCCAAGTTAATTAAATACCCCATTAGATCTGGGCCTTCCTGGGTCTAATGAAGTATTGGGCCTGTGGGGACTCACTTCAGGGTATCCTGGGACTACCCGAGGGTGAGTCTCCATTTGCCATCACGAACCTTTTGGAGCCCAAAGGTCCAGGATGGTGCCCACCCCTTCTCCCCCAGCCCCCCATATACCCTTTTAAAGTTTTTTAAAAACTTACCCAGCCGTCATTGTGTCCCTCCTCGCACCCTCTTGGCATGAGGAAATGATCTGCCAGGAGATTGGGCGGGGGGGGGGGGGGGGGGGGAGGAGGGATTTTTCTCCTCCCCCTCCCCAGTCTCCTGGCACATAATTTCCTCATGCCAGGAGGATGCAAGGAGGAACATAATGGCAGCCAGGTAAGTTTTAAAAACTTTTAGAGGTCCTTTTGTGGGGGTTTAGGGTGGCTGCATGTCATCCCAATAGTAATCGGTATGGCATGTAGTCACCCTCCCTAGGAAAGCCCAGGTTTTGGGGACTTAAACTCATGCCAAAGCAGGTTTTTTTAAAACCCGTTTTGGCACAGGCTTAACTCCTGTCTGGAAGTGCCCTAAGTTATCCACCTTTGACACCCAAAATATTTTTCTGGTCATTTTTTCAAACACATTTCTGTTTCACTTTTTATCTACAGAACAAGCAATTCCCAGCCAGAAGCTGATGACACTGCCCCACTTTCGAATATAACACACCAGCCTGTTGGGTATTCACAAGAAGATGACTCCAACTTCCAAATTATGGGAAAAATCATGCCTGTACTGCTTACCCTTATTCCATATTGGATGGTCTACTTCCAGGTAGAGAGCATAAAGGACAGCGTGGTTGTACTTTGAATCTCTGGCCTATTTAGTTGTTATTGATGATGATAATAATGGTGATGGTGATTACATTATGTATTGTTTATTTTATAGATATATCTCTTGCCTTTCAATAAAACTATCCCCAGTTAGTTTATAGAACATAATTAAACAGTTACACAACAATAAAAATATCAAAACAGAAGCACCAAAGCAAAACCAAATTTTGATGGTTAAAATAATATTTTCTAGGCATTCCTGGAAATGCCATGAACTGGGCTTGGGTCCTTTTGTGCTGGAAGCATTTCTCTGTCACTGACCTATGCTCCTTGTCCTCATCAATCTCCCCATATCACTTATTATAATGATGCCCTGAACTTGTAATGGTGGAAACTAAATAATCTAAAAATGAGAGAGGGGGACACTCTTCTTAATCTCAGGATGCGAGCTGCACTGAACTAAGTATAACTATTTTCATGTTCAACTCTGATGGTTACTGGTTTCCACATCAATAAATCTGCTGTGGTTTTGAGTCCAGGTTGGAACCCTATATACCTCCAGATAAATCCACCACATTCATTTAATGTTCAGACCAAAGCCCAGAATGGATTATGCTTCACTGATTTGGAAACTACCAGCCACCACTCTCATTGAACTCTCATAGAACCAAGACTGGCTCGGGCCCTGTTGTATACACTGTGCAGCAACACAGGTTTGTCCCTTAGCAAGCATTAAGGTGACATACACAGAGCAGAAGAGGACTTCTATGTTTTCCAGAGCTATGATGAAAAGTTCTAAATATCCTGAAAGCACAGATCCCATCTGACTTTGAAAATTAAGCAGGATCAGACCTGGTTAATTCTTGGAGAGAGGACCACCAAGAAATGCCAGAGGCTGTGGGGTATATCTCAGAGGAAGACAGCATAAACTGTTTTCCTTGCCTAAAAAAAACACTATGGAATTCATGGGCTCCACCAGAAGTCGGCAGGCAACTTGAATGCACATGCAAGAGGCTGGGGAAAGAATTTCATCTGGAGCTAGTTATCTCTAACATGCATGACAAATTTCAGAAATAGCAAAATTCTTCTACTTAACTTTTAAGCGTCCAGGAATTCTATCCATCCAGTTAATTCATAGAGAGCATAAAAATAACTTGATATTTTTGCCTGTACAAACTCTGTCCATTCCAAATTCTGCTGGGACAGCACTGCTAAGTTCAGTCATTTGGAATTAAAGCCTGCTCCAAGCAAGCCTAGAACCAGCCGTAAGCTTTCCAATCTCATGTTATTGGGGTAGAGAGTTTATATAAAAGGTCTGCCAGTTTCATTTCCCCCTTGATTCCTGTTTCCTGATATAACAGAGCTGTAAAGTTGACAAGTGGTTGCAATAAACTGAAATGAAATGTGCAGTAAAAACCCAATGATATGAAAGTAAAGGTGTTTCTATTTCATTTTTAAAGAAAGCTGCATTGTAAATCTCTATTTGTACAGCAAACATGGTTTGCAAAGAAAATTTAGAACCAATTATCCCGAACACATATTTGTGATGGGAAGGAAGAACACATGGAGATAATAACCAAATTGATTATTCTAACAATGTTGTGAAAGAATGGCTGGAATGACTGTTCTGATAGCAATTTATGGCACTTCTTTACAACACTTCATTTACTGTTCAGTGCCATGGCATGAATTGGCTATTGAGGGGAGCCCTTCTTTCCCTAGGTATCTTCACTGCATTATGGAATTTCTAACTGCTTTATAATCTGCCCTAAAACTGATTAGCCAATGCATGATTAAACTTAAGTTTATGCCAGAATAGGTTGAAGAAGTTGCTTTGTAAAAATAAAATGTGTGTGTATGTGTTCCATGATGTATGTGTGCACACAGTAATCCTGGTCATGTGTGTGTGTTCCATGATGTATGTGCGCACACACTAGCGCTGGTCATGTGAAGTTTTAATGTGAACGTATAGGGAGAAAGAATAGTCTAGCCCCAGTAGTTTGGAAAGGAGTACTTCTACTGACTAGATGTGGAGGACCAGATGATCTCCATCGCTGATCTATTCTAGATCTTATAACTTGGGCCCCATCTACACTGACTATTTAATGCAGTTCAAAGCTAGCTTCAAACTGTGGTATCCAGACAACAAACTTGCACAAAAGTATGCAAAAGGAAGTCTTTAATGCACATCAGTGTTCTGAATGCACATTCTGGAACCAGCCTCAAACTGGTTCCAGGATTTCCTATGTAAAATCACTTTTTTCAGTACCAGTTTGAAACTGCATTAAATGCACAGTGTAGGTAGGGGCCTTAGTATCGGCCTGGGCCAAGGGAGCATTGAACTAGTTACCTTCTTCTTGTAACATGTATTTCTTTAATAACATCCATTTCATCTTGAATTTTAGATGCAGTCAACGTATTACCTGCAGGGTCTGCACCTCTCAATCCCCAACATCTTTCAAAACAGATTTATGAACACTAGTGCACTTTCAGCATCTGCAGATGGTCGCTACACGGTAAGCTATGGGGCACATGGGACTGTGTGTCATTAAGTCTCCAGAAATCAGAATGGCAGTGTCTAAACTAGACAAGATTTCTTGCCTGTCAAATTCCTCATTTTTTCTGAAAAATGCCAGAATAGGTTCTTTCATGATGCTAGAAGTCACTCTATTGAAATGTGTCTCTACTCATAGGAAAAGTCTGCTCTGGGGATGAGAAAGAAATGCTCAAGTATCTTAGGTAAAGAACCTGAGATTGAAACAATACAATAGGGTTTTTTTAAAAAAAAAAAGTTTTGCATCCTATTTCATTGTCATCACTGGTCACAGTGCTGGAAAAGTAACTTGCTGCACTGCTTATTATTTTATGTATTACTCTTTTGAAAATATATATATATTAGGGTTGGTTTTTAAAAAGAAAAAATAGTTCCCCAAAGATCCCTAAAAATACAATTAGAAAACATTGCTCCTCCTTCTGCCCAGTACTGGTAGTCCAGATCCTGCATCAAAAGATGTAAAGCAGGCCTCCTCGAACCCTCCAATGTTTGGGTCTCCAACTCCCAGAATTCCTGACCATTGAATAAGCTGGCTAGGACTTCTGGTAGTTGGAGACCAAAACAGGTGGGGGGCTGCTGTTCGAGGATGCCTGCCAAGAAGGCCCATGACATGGCTCCATCCTTCTGTAGCACTCTTCTGCGCACATCCTCCTCCATATAGTGTTGTGTGTGTGCATGGGGGTGAGGGGCTGTCAGAGAAGTATCTGGCTATGTGCCTACAACCAAATATACAACAGCAACACACACCCCTTTATCTCCAGAGAACCCCAGAGAATGCCTTTGCCATTCACATTTGGTGATAGAGATTGAGACATTTCTCTGTCATTTCTTGCTTCATGGCTATGGAGGAGGAGGAACAGGAGAGAGATGAATCCAATAGGGGTCATTGCATGAGGGAGGTAGTGAATTTGTCCTTCAGTAACAACTTAGGGTGCATCCGCATTGTGGAATTAATGCAGTTTGATGCCACTTTACTGCCGTGGCTCAATGTTATCGAATCATGGGAGTTGTCATTTGCAAGTTCTTTAGCCTTCTCTACCAAAGAGTGCAGGTGCCTCACCAAACTACCAATACTATAGCATTGAGCCATTGTGGTGTCAAACTCCGGATTCTTCTACACAGCACCTAAAATGCAGAAGTTGCCAGGTTTAAAGGGTCTGTTTGGCTAAATGGCACTAGTGGTAAATCCGCACTAATTTGCTGCCACGGACAAAAAACATGTGTTAAAAAGGTCCACTTATATTCCGATTCCAACCAAAAATGTGCATATTCACATCACTGTATATCCCTGCACTAGCAAAAAAAACCGTGATTTCCTTCCCTCCCCCTGCAGACCGGCACTTTTAAAAAGCCCAAAACAGCTGATCAGGCTGTGAAATGGACACACAACTGGTTTAAAGGAAGCACAAAAAGAGAGGAATTAGAACTTTCTTAAATTCTTTATTTTAAACTTTATAATATTAAACAGAGCTTGAAAGTAACAATTGAGGGAGGAGAGAGATCTGGCAGAAGTTTTTTTAAATGCAAATCTGCTTATATTTATATTAAGATATTCGCATGTGCACATATACAGTCCAGTGCATAATTGCTCACCTCTGGAATAGAGAGAAGTTGTAGAATACAAAAGGGCTGTATTGATGATCTAGAAAAGAATTTTTCCCCCTCCTTCTCTTTAGCAAGCACAATCCCTGCTTTTCAAAGAAGCATAGCTCCTGATAAGCTGCACATGATTCCAGCTCTGACTGCAAACCTTGGTTACCAGAAGACAGAGCAGAAATTGTTCTGTTTCTCCTGAGGCCCCAAGTGGGGCTGCAGTGAGAGAACTGCTGAAATGAGAGAAAGAAGGATATGACTAAGGAGGAGAGATGGGGAATATGGGGAAACAACTCAGATACTCATATCAACTTAAAGCTTCTTTATCAGGCGAATCCCTTATTTCAGAATTGTAAATTCATCTCTCTTACTCAGAAGAAATTATATTGATTTGTCACTGCTTCCAACATTTCTGATATTGGTAGGAATTGTTGGTTATTTCACAAGTAAAGTAGACCCATTGATTCTGTTACTGAATGGGGAGTCAACACTTCAGTAAATCCAGTTGATTCAGTGCTTCTACTGCACTCAAGACAAATAATAGGATGTAGGCCATTATTTACCAGCCTTCCCTGTTTAATGATGGTGAGCAAGGATCGTCTTCCAACTGAATAGCTCACAGTTTTTTGTACTCCTTTCAGTTTACATTATAGCTGTACTGAGGATTGATTCACACAGTCATTAGTTGAGTGATGGTCTTGGGAAATATGCTGAAAATGCTTGAGTCTATTGCTTTCCTACTTGTATGTGTTGTGGTGTGGGGAGACAAGCACGTGAAAGGCTCAGGATTTTTGCACACTTTGGAAACCATCCTAACATTGTGTTCTAATTAACAGGACTAAAACATATTTCTCTAGTTGTGCTGCTTATACAAATTCATCTTGTGGTAGTCATGAAGATTTTTTTAATCTCAGTTGGTCCTCATGACATGAACTGGCCACAGTCATGAGTGACCATTCACATAATCACAGTGTACTGAACATGTTATTTGGCTGTGTGGCTCTATCCATAGTTTTGCATGGGACTAATCAGTCCTACAGTTCTTTCATCGGGCACTCATTCAGTCCACTTACCACAACATTGGTAGTCAATTCTGAGCATTCTGGGCATTTTGTGACACATTTGTTGTGAGTGTTTGCCAAACCCTACATAAATCCACTCACAGTGACAGGTTGATTGTGGCTGAATCTACACTGCTATGTAACCCAGTTTCTGATCTCAGATTATCTGCTTCGAACTGGATTATACTGCAATGTAGACCCAGCCTAAGTGAACTGGACCTTTATGGCTCCACGGCATCCACAGTCTCTTTGAATAGCCTTCTATGAAACAGGTATTCGCCTATAAAGCTTTACCTTACAACAGTCACAGAAAAAGATACAGTAGACTCTCACTTATCCAACATAAACAGGCCAGCAGAATGTTGGATAAGTAAAAATGTTGGATAAGAAAGAGGGATTAAGGAAAAGCCTATTAAATGTCAAATTACATTATGATTTTACAAATTAAGCACCAAAACATCATGTTTTACAACAAATCGACAGAAGAAGCAATTCAATACACAGTAACATTATGTAGTGATTATTATATTTATGAATTTAGTACCAAAACATTGCAATGTATTGAAACAGCTGTAGATCCAGGCAGGAGGCAGACTGTGTTGGATAATATAAAACATTACATGAGCAAAGGATGGATAAATGAGACTCTACCGAACTTTGTTTTTTCTTCTTGGCATTTTGACATTAGACTCTTGATCTCTTTATAGCTCCCAGATGCCTGGCTCCTTCTAGCTAATGTGGTGGTTCTGTTGATTCTGGTTCCTCTGAAAGACCGGGTCATAGACCCATTTCTAGCAAAGAGGAAATTGTTGCCTTCAGCATTAAAAAGGATGGCTCTGGGCATGTTCTTTGGACTTGGCTCAGTCATTTTAGCAGGTAAGTAATCTATTTTAAAGAACTGGAAGCTAGGTAGAGCTAGGCCTGGTTAGCACTTGGATGGGAGACTGCCAAAAAATCCTAAGAGCTGTAGACTATACTTCAAAGGAAGAAATGGACAAAGTCACCTCTGAGTTTCCATATCTAAGAAAACCTCATAAAATTCATAATCCAGGAGACAACTTAAACGTACACACACATATTTTATTAGTTATCTTATGTTAACCCCATTCCTTCTTTCTACAATTAAAGCAGTTCACCCCCAAAATGAGTACAAAAATATTTATGAACCATTTTATGTATCTGTTGTTGTTTATTCATTCAGTCGCTTCCAACTTTTCGTGATCTCATGGACCAGCCCACGCCAGAGCTCCCTGTCAGCTATCACGTTTATTATTCTTTTTTGTATCTAAAAGAATAATAAATAAGGCTTGTCTACAGATCTGTCAATCAGTAGGAAAAAATGTGCAATTTCTGTGCTTGCAGGCAACAATTTGTATGTTCAGGAATCTTGTTAAGTGTAGTCCTCCTAGGAACACTTCACAATGTAGATGGGAGACTGTTAATTCTCTTCCATGTAAAGTAACAACAGTAAAAGGCTCCGTTTAAAACAGTGGCACCTCAGATTAAAAAAAAACTAGGTTATGATCCTATTTTATAATTTCATCTCCCTTTGTTGCTATCCACATAAACATCAGTGTTTGAGGAGATGGGGTTGGCCTTTTTTTAAAAAAATGGCCATATACTAACTGATGAGCCCTAAAATGTTTCACTTTATATATTGCGTTCAATCTTTCATCTTTCGGTATTATAATTACAAGATGCCTTCATTTTTTTAAGAAAAAGACACCAAAGGAATGTAATAGTAATGAGGCTGAATGAATTGAGCTATATTGCTTGTTCCCCTTTCCCTTCCTCTTTCTCTCATACATATGCTACACAACACATTATCAGTACAAATACTATTTGAGATTTGCCCTGAGCTTGTAAACTTGCATGCTTTAAACAATGCTGGTTCTGACTGAGTGATAGAACTGTTTACTTGGCTGGTCACCTGGTGCTTATAGGATTTTCCATTTGCAAACATATCCAAAACACATTTTTTGTATGTCTATATTACATGTCCACAAGTCAGAGCAGAGCTTGGGAAAATCCCTAGTATGTTAAAAAGGGGGTGGGGGTTAAAAGTAAATTTTCCAAACTTTGAATCAGATAATACCTTTTCTTTGACCAGTTAGAAGACTCCTTGTTAAAATGTAATGTTAATTAATGTAAGCCATTAATCATCATCATCAATATCTATTTACCGGTACATCTTTTTCAGCATCCTAATAACCCATCTCACGCAGGGGGCTTATTCAAATGCACTGATGTGCTTTGTGTTCCCTGTCAGCTGGAGAGCTATTGCTCTGTAGGGAATACTGTTGCCAAAAGAAAAGTACCATAACTCTTCTGGGATCCCTAAAAATTCTGATATGTGTTTTCTGTAAAGTCTTATTCTGGGTCTAAATCATGGTGAGTGTCTTAATGGGAGGCCTGATGCTTTCGCCATCTCACTTTGTTAATGCAATTTATTAATGGTGATAGATGATGAACTATCGTATTCTATCAGCAGGCTCAAAGACCATGATTAATAGCCCTCCAGAGACCAAAAGCTTCCCAAGTGTATTAGGGGTACTTTGCCCTGGGAGAAAGCCTTCTAGACCTGCCAGAATAGCTAAACCAAAGAGGGAAGAGATTCCTCTTTTTTTAGGGCTTGTAAATGGGGAGAAGAGGTTGAGTTCCCTTTAACAATGTGTGAAAACATTATCTCTGGAGTGTTATAAGTAGGGTGAAGAGTTTTGCCATCCTCTGCTACTTATGCACAGTTAGGTAACCCTGGCATATCGATGATAGGATATACACAATTTGTGCATTTATGTCAATTTCTTCCACCACTATGGTGGGGAATTGGTTACACCCCAGTTCTCAACACCCATCAGCTCCAGCCAACATGGCCAGAGGTGATGGAAGTTGTACTCCAGTAACACCTGGCAAGACAATAATTCTCTGCTCCTGCTCTAAAGGCTGCTTTTCTCTTCAAAAGGTTTGCTGGAGACTAAACGGCTGCAATATGTGAACAGTAATCAAACCATCACGCAGAGGATTGGGAAGGATGACTACATTGCAGCCCCCCTCTCCATTTGGTGGCAAGTGCCTCAGTACTTGCTAATCGGAATCAGTGAAATATTCGCCAGCATCCCAGGTAAGCAGCAGAGGGAGTGCCTATTGCATTTGCAAACAACTTTGGAGGCGAATGTGAAGAGATCCCAGTTCTCATATGTAATCCTGGCCTGTTGCTCTAATTTATTCATCCACATTAAGTCGCATTTCCCCACTCAGGATGTAGCAAGGAGATCGGGCTAAACTGAAAGTGGAATTGGGACACAGTGGGCATAAGTGATGGGTGGGAGGAACAAGCACAGGGCTTATCCATAACCACAAAAACGGTGGTCTAGGAAACCTTAAACTACCATTTCAACATAGCCGATATGTCACTTTTCCAGCCAACTCTCTGAACTCTTCTTTCTTTCCCAGGGTTGGAGTTTGCCTACTCTGAATCTCCAAAAGCCATGCAAGGAGCCATCATGGGCTTCTTCTTCTTCATTTCTGGAGTGGGGTCACTTTTCGGATCTGGCCTCTTGGCTTTCCTCTCACTGTCAGCCATTGGTTGGATGCACTGCCCAGAGGATTATGGTGAGGAACACAATGAGCAATCTATAACATTGTCTTCTAATTGCAGGAGAAAGATTTGTTTTTATCTCATAGTTTTGTCCTTGAGGAAATAAGGGTGAACTGCACAGGGTGGTGGATGGAAAATGTTCACAGGAATCTAGGTAGAGCCAGGGCCCTATCATGGATTTGATAGGCACCAACTATGCCTAATTATAGGGGCAGATAAAACAAAGAGGGCCACAGAATCTTTGGAACTACCAAGAATGTGTTGTTAGGAGACTATTATACAGAGACAATTCAGGAGAAATCTGGCCAAGAGCAGCAAAAGGACAGTGGCACCAGCAAGCACCCTGCTGCTTGCTTTGTGCTCACTAATGTCTTTCCCCTTCTATTTCCCTAGGGGACATTAACAAATGTCGGATGGATTATTACTTCTTCCTCCTGGCTGGAATTCAGATGGTAACCTGTATCCTCTTTATTTGGATCTCCTTTCGCTATGAACGTCAGCAGCGGCCCCCTTGTCTCCACTGCACAGACCAGGAGAGCCACTGAGATGCACTGCCCTGTGCCTTTGGGGGGACTGTGAGGAGTTTACCAGCCTGATCCAAAACACTGCTGTATAGTTACTGGATGGGATCTTCTGAAGACCAATGGAATATAAAAGGATTTGAGAAATTAAGAGGGGATAAAACCATCAGTGGCAGCCAGCCAAAGGACTAAAATATATAGCCCCATATTGAAGTGTCATTAGCATATTACTTCCAGAATTGGGAGTGTGAATAATGCAGACTATGGAGGCTGAAAACAAAAATTACCATGAGATGCAAAACCGTCGTGCTCAAATTAGGTGGACCATTCTCTTTTAAGAGAGCAAATGTGTTCTTGCTTCCATTAGGACTTACAATTCACCTTGCTCTCCAGTATGTTTCTTTGCAGGGTTGAGAAGGGCATGTTGAAATGAAAAAGGCTTTTCCTTGTGCCCATTTCAGGAACAAACCCCAGGGTAAAATATCTTATCTTTATGTCATAGCAATTTTGTTAAAGATTGCTTCAGAAATCATTTCCTAAAATGCATCAGTTCTCTGTTTCTCAAAGCCAGGATGGGTATAGCAAATGGAGATAGAGAGTGAGGGAGTAAAGCATTTTCTCAACAGCAGACCTTCCTAATATGCCAATGGGATGTGGAAAGATTCATCTTCTCTTCTGTGAACCGAGAAGGTCTTAAGAGCAGCACAGTCTCAGTTCTTGACGGCTAGCTTGTCACAGAGGAAATTTACAAGAGCATGACATCTTCTGGATTAGAATGTTGCAGACTTGCAACTTGGAATATAAAAGTGTTACATATTTTGCAGAGCTTGGAAACATTTCTTTTTTAGACTCGGCCCCAGTCACACTTCCACCTGTCTTGCTGGCTGGAGTTTCTGGGAGCTGTACTCCAAACAAGATAACTTTCCAAAGTACTATATTTTAAAGATGCCTGCGGATGTCACAGGATTCTATTTATTTGAAACAATGAGTTGGATTTTTATTATCTGAGTGAGCATCTTTTCTGGACTCTTCTTGAACAAATTTGGTTTTTGCATGAGATTGCTGTTGCATGTCTTCAAGTAGTTTCCGGCTTACGATTGTGACTATTGTGGTTTTTTGGCAACATTTGTTCAGAGGAGGATGGCCTTTGCCTCCTTCCGAGGCAATGTGACTTGTCTAAGGGTGTTCTAAGGGGTTCCCACGAATGAGCAAGGAGGCAAAGAGTCTCAAGAGTTGTTGCCCAACACCCAAAAACCACTGCACATGAGATGACATGGCTTAAATCTAGTTGCTGATCCTAAGTAGAGTAGATCCCTTGAATTAGTAGTTGAACACAGTCAACACATGTGTAAATTCTATGGATTCAGTGGGTCTCCTCTAGTGGGAGGGACTTGTAGACTTAGGTCACAGTATTTGTTGTTGTCCAGTCAATTTCAGTTTATAGCAACCCCATGAATAAGATATCCATAGGGTATAAAGTATCAAAGAACATTTCAATTAGCTTTTTCATCTTAGTATTCTCTTTAGGAATTCAGAATTGAGAAAAAAATAAGAATAGCAGACTTTTAGAAAACCAAACCCATTTTTCTCAAAGGTAAACTGTGTGGGGGATGTGCAACATATGTATGCAGGCACAATGCCAATATGCTATTGGAAAATCTCTCAATCTCTGACTGAATCAGGACAAACAGCAGCAGGGCTAGTTCTTATCATTGCTAGTTTCAGCTCAAGGTTTTAGACTGTGTAGCCTTCCTTTGTCTTCATGAATGTTTGAAATCAAGCTTCCCTACAGAAACATTTAATGCTTAACCAAACTTCTGTAGAATTATAGAAATTCCACGTGATACATGTTTTGGCTGGTTTCCTGGTAATATGAAACCTAATCTTAAATTATTTATGATCAGTGGGCCTATGTGGAGAGAAACAGAAGAAAGGAACTGTCATAGCAGTAAGGTGACAACTCCTATCAACATGAGGTCAGAGAGAAACATGGTTCCTGTCTCTTAAACATCTACAATCATTCAACAGGTACAAGTGTTTCTTCGTGGAAGAATTGGAAAAGTGGACTTGATGAAATTCTTTTTTCTGTGTGACTTACAGCATCAGGGGTGGGAATCATGAGATTCTCCAGATGTGGGACAGAAAGCCTCAGGAACACTAGCAGAGGCAGTGCTGGGAACTGCAGTAGGAAAACATCTGGAAAGCCACATGATTCCCAACCCTGTATTACTGATACAGGGACTCATGAATAAGTGATGAGGCAGGAAGCTGACCCTGCCGAACCATAGTCAAAAGAGAGGAAAACCCGATGCCATGTTTTCTGAGGGAGCAAAGGCAACCTATGGTCAGAGGGCCATTGAGTATCTTAGCACCTCAAAGCCATGTCCTCCTTTGTTTCTCACTGAGAAAGGCAAGGGAACCTGTGACTCTCAGATGTCGGACCAATTCCTATCAATGCCCACTACCTTGGTGAGCAAAGGGTGATGGGAATTGAAACTCACTAACATCTGGATGAAGGTTTTTCATCCCTTGGATGTATTTGGGGTGTGTTTAGGAAGTACCTTATTGCCTGTTATTTTCTAATGATTCAACTGATAAGAGGGAAGGACTTGAAAGAGTCATGTGCTGTGGAGCCTGGTGTTCATATCAATGGGGCAATGAATTTGGTCTGGGATTTAGTCTAAAAGGAGTTCTCAAGGGTACTGAACTCTCTTTTTGTGTGGATAGGCTTTGGCCCCTTGAAAGTACAGTATATAATGAAACCCAGACTGGATTCGGTGCCCCATTGAGTCTTCTGTAGTGGCGATATTGCTTTCTACGTTAAGTTAGGATCAAGGTTGCAAAAGTTCTAATTGAGTCAGGAAAGAAGGGAGGAGCCATCTATCGTTAGCAGATGGTGTTGTGGGTAACTAAACAGGCCTCCCAATCACAAAGAAAGGCACCAGTGAACCATAAAACACTCAATTCTTGGTTCTTTTTTAAATTATTATTTATTCCATTTTTAACAATGTAAGAATTAAAAATCTCCCATAAATAAAGGACTTGCTTGGCAACCTCCCAATACTACAGGTATAAAATGTGAGCGATTGTACAAAACTGTTAAGGACACACCAGGCACATGGCCAGGGGGTGGGAAGGAAAAAAAGGGCCGGCCAATGCCTCCCTGGAGCTCTGCCCCTCTGCCCAGCTTTAAAGTTGGTTTAGGGTGGGGTGTAGAAGTGGGAGAAAGAGCCCCAGGCTCAGACCACAGGAAAAACGGGACACTCGCTGTTAAAACCATCACAATGGACACAAACTGGCAATGAGAATCAAAGCAATAAGGGAGGCACAGGGACAGGGCCCAGCTGGGGTTCCCTTCTAAAGCACATCACAGCATCTTGCTGCTGGCATGTAGCCGCCTTGAAGTGTGCAACACCTGACCTGCACCCAATAAAAAGGTCTTGGTGGGGAGGGGAGGGGAGAATCAATAAAGACACATGTTCTATCCCCAGGAAGGAGAGCTGTAGCTCCACTGCATGAGATTAACCAGAGGGGAAGATGTTGTCTCTCACCTGTAAATCCCTCTTATACCTTAAGTGGTACAACCAAGGAAGGAGACCTCTCTAACATAGAGAGCAGGAAGGGTATTTCTGGTGTCCCATTCCCCTCTCCCTTCCCTTCCCACCGGAGTCTGGTTTTTGCTCATGTGTAGAACCCTTTCTAGAAGGGGAAAATAAAAAAGGTAGAGAAGCCCAGCTGGATGAGCCTAGGAGAGCACCCAAGGTGGAACAAATGCTGACCCCTTATTGGTTTGCCCATATGGGTATGGGTGGAGAGTAAAGGAGAGCCTGAGATCAGGAACTGCCCCGGATCCTTTCCATGTAACTGCGCAGCTCATCCGGATCATGTAGCCCCATGTCCTCACACACCCAGCGGATGTCATCTTCGCTGGCCACCAGGATGGACTGAACAGCAGGCGCTGAGTTTGGAGGACTCGAAGCAGAGCCAGGAGGAGTGGCAAAGGTCACAAACTCCACACGTTTCCGCCGACCCCCCACCTCCCTGCCATCTTTCTTCCGAGACAAGGTGGTGGTAAGAGCTGGGCTTCCTTGAGCTGTTGGGCCAAAAGTACTGGCAGAAACCAATAGGGTTTCTGTTTCTGGCCCTGGGAGTGGAGCTGGGCTCTCTTGGGCTACAGGCTCCAGCCTCCCCTCTGGCCCTGCACAGCAGCAGCAGCCCTCACCAGTGCCAGAAGGGTCCAGGGACTGGTCTTTGCAGTGCTGGTGGCGCAGATCCAGCTGCCGGCTGAGCTCCTCCTGGTCTGTGCCTAGCCAGACCCAGTTGTGAGGCTGCTGGGTAGAAGAGGCTGGCCCTGACCCGGCATCAGGGGGCTCCTTGCGTTGGTAACGAAGGACAAAGACCACACAATTGATGAGGAAGATAAAGATGGCAAGACAGAAGACCCCCAGAAGAACATACATGCCAATTTCCAGATCTGTCACCCTTGCCGGAGCCTTCACCATCTCATCTTCCTCCTGTCCCTCTTCTTCCTCCTCTTCCACCTGATCAGCGTCCTCATAGGAGCTTCCTCCAGGCCCCTCAAATTTGGTAATGGGTGGCCCCACTCCTATTGGGCCACGCTTCCTTGTTCCCTTCCCACTCTCTGTGACAGCTGCTACTGTCACAGCTTCACCTGACATAGCACCTTCTGCTCGCTGAAAGGGAGGGTCCCCATGGAGATGGGGACTCTGCTGCCGAGGGCTGCTTGTTGTGAGGATGCGCCGGCCAAAGGTCACTTCCAGCCACGTTGTCCCCTGGGCAAGGGGAGCCCTGTGCTTGCCCTTGCGGCAAGAGTCTGGGGAATGGAGGCTGAGCTGCAGGAGGGAACCTCGTCCTGGTCCTTCAGCAACGATCACTGGGCGACCACGCTCCTCGTCCAGCCGCACCGAAACCACATGAGGGTTCAGAGAAGAAACGGAGAGCCCAGCATCCCGCCAGCCATAAAGCTCTACAGGAGCCAAGGTGTGATCGGTGAATGCCAGCCAAAGACTCAGAACTCCTTCCTGTAGGGAAGGGAAATGGAGATCAGGAGGAGAAAAAGGTCACATGCACAGCATGAGTTGGCACACAAGTACTAATATAAACTGAGGCTTGCTTCAGATATATAATCCAACTCTCAGAAATTCTGCTTTTGAACTATAGCTCCCAGAATACTCAGCCAGCATGGTCAGAGACTGTGATGGCCGGGGACTCGGAATTGTAGTCCCAACATGCATTTTTTTACAATCTCTGTTGTATCCTGATCACCCAGACTATGCCTTCTGTATTTCTGCCAGAAACATAGATTATCCATTACACCTGCAGTTCTTAATCACTTCACTCAGCATACAAATGCAGCACTCCACCCTAATTCTCTTCCTTTGACCTCTATAAGCCAAAGTAGGGAATTTAACAGCAAAGTAATGTAACACATGTAGATTATGCTACAGAATGAATAGGAGAGAGATTTAGCATTGCTGAGCTTAATAACGATTGCATATTTCCCATAATGTCTTCTCAGTCCACAGGTTAGGACCTGGAATCTTCAGTGTTCTTTACATAGTCATTATTCCTTTGGGCCAAAAGCTGAAGACCAACACAGCTGTTTAATACTGAAGCATATCTCACCTGCTTCAAAGAGCGCAGAGTTGGAAGTCCTTGGCATGTGGCAGTGAAGACATTTGGGTGTCCTTGCTCCACAGAAAGAGATAACGAGAGACCAGACACCAGTTGGGTCTGTAGCTCTGAGAGGGAGACCTTGTCATCTGACACCACCAGGGTCTGCTCCCCCAGGATAGAGTCAGAAACAGGAGAACGCACCTGAACCAAGAGATAAAAAGGACAAAATTACCTTCAAAAAGAGACTAGCCACCTACCAGAACTGCATACATAACCTCTGAGATCCTACATTGGCCTATAGCTCCACCATTGGGTTCTTCTCAGTGCACAACACCACCCTTGCTGCTATCACTGCTGGGAAGGGGGTTGAAGACTACAGAGAAGCTGTTGGTCTCAGGTTGATTAGGAGACGGGAACAGAAATGAGGGTGCTCTCAAGTGGAGTGCACTTGCCTTTTCCTTCCTCTGGAACCTCAGAACAGCAAATTCTTCACAGTCCGAATAACATTTCCCCATCCAAAATTGGACAGGCTGTTGGCCACTGTTTGTTACCCCTGGCTAGTGGTACTGAAAACTGGCTCCAAGAAACCAAGCAGGAAAGTTGGGTTTCCACAGGTGACTGTCAGAAATATGTAAATGTTCAAAGCTTGAAAATGTTCCTTTTTTTGGACCTAAACTCCCTATAATCCCCTTATGGACTTTTTGGCATCCAGATTCCTCCAAACACCATGTCTACAGTTAATGGATTCAGGAAGTTTGGTCCAAAAGGTAACTTTTCTAACTACTATTAAACCATTATTTAAAATATTTATAGGCTAGTGACTTTCATGACACAACCCACTGAAGATACATAAAGTCCAATCTTCTATACAGCCCTTCTGCAATTTATTCCACTTCAACGCAAGCATCTCACTCAACTCTGCTGCAGCAAAGAATGAATTCTTCCTGACTGCCCTACCATAGGTCACTTACCTCCACAGATGTCATGCCTGGTTCACGGCCAATCACCACATTCCCCCCTTCCAATGTGGCCACTCGTGGGTCCTGGATTCTGGCATGTGCCTGCACCAGATGTGATACATCCAACAGCCAATCAGAGCTTGGCATGTAGGTTAGGTGTCGTCCACCATCTAAAGGATGTGCCACAAAATGAGCCAGGAAGCGAACACCAGCCCGTTGGTATTGCAAGCGACATCCACGACCTCTCC